GTTTTTCAGCCAGAAATGAAGCTCTGACTGTTCTGTTTTCTCCCCTGTTCCTCACTACTTCTGTTGAGCGCAGCTCCGTAGCGATGTGCTTTTAGTCCTCTGTTTGTTTCCTTACCTCCTTCCCTTGTCCCTCTGAGCATGTTTGTTTCCTTACCTCCTTCCCTTGTCCCTCTGAGCATGTTTGTTTCCTTACCTCCTTCCCTTGTCCCTCTGAGCACTTTCAGTTAAGTGGTTCTAGGGAGTAAGGTAATTTTTAGAAATTTTCCTTTGTTCCTTGAGTAATACCTTATCCTAGGTCAGGGTCTTTGCGTCCCTGGCTTTGTTTTGCTTGAGGCGCCGCTGCGCTCCTGTGTCTGCTCGGCTGCTGATTTAGGTCCAGACTCTCTATTTGACATATTGATGGTATTGATTCGTTTTTCATGTTTCATTGAATTTCTCATTTTATTTCCATTTCATTGGGATAATCTGTTGTCTTTCTGACAGAACTTGAATCTGCTGTTATAAGGGTCACAGAGAGGCAGAGGCAGAGAGAGGGGGAGAAAGAGAGAGAGAGAGAGGTCTTCCATCTGCTGGTTCATTCCCCAGATGGCCACAATGGCCAGAGCTGGGCCGATCCAAAGCCAGGAGCCAAGAGCTTCTTCCGGGTCTCCCACTTGTGTACAAGGGCCCAAGCACTTGGGCCATCTTCTACTGCTTTCCCAGGCCATAGCAGAGAGCTGGATCAGAAGTGGAGCAGCCAGGACTAGAACCAGCACCCATGTGACATGCCAACACTGCGTGGCTTTACCTGCTACACCACAGCACTGGGCCCCTGCACCTGTGTGGGAGACCTGGAAGAAGCTCCTGGCTCCTGGCTTTGGATTGGCACAGTTCCCACCATTGTGGCCATCTGGGGAGTGAACCAGCAGATGGAAGACCTCTCTCTCTCTCTCTCTCTCTCTCTCTCTCTCTTTCTCTCTCTTTCTGCCTCTGCCTCTCTGTAACTCTGCCTTTCAAATAAATAAAGTCTTTTTAAAAAGTCAAAGAAAGAAACAACTTTGTATCCTAGGATTTGTATCCCAAGTCCCCACAGGCCTATTGGCTGGAACAATAACCAAAGCTGAAGACCCTTGGGCTATGCTTCTGTCCTCCTTATCCCAAACTCCAGTCCTGGATCTGAGCGTCCCAGGCCTGCAGGGGCCGGGCACTGGCACGGTGACAGCGAGGAGAGGGCAGCATGTCCATGCTGGGTCCCTACTGCCGAGTGGATGGGAGCAGGGCGTGCAGTAGGAGGAACGCCCGTGCACATGGCCCAGCAGTCATCCCAGGAGAGCAGGGGACAGGGGCTGTCACAGGGTCGTCTCACGTGCATTCCTTCCCCTTTCTACCTTTGGGTAATGTGGGTGAGTGGCCTCTGCTGTGCTCAGTGGGTGCCTGAGTCCCTTTGTGAGCTGAAGGTAATGGGTGTGTTGGGTGAGGGCCATGATACCAGCCCCACAAGATGTATTTTATAGCAAAAGTCTAAAGCTATAAAAAGCCAGACTAAGCAAAGGATATTGAAGGAGTAGCCTAGAAAGAAGAGAAGGGGAAGGGGGCATTTGGCTGAGCAGCTTAGATGCTGCTTGGGAGGCCTGGGCTAAATGCTGGCAGCCCACCTTCCGATCCACTCTTGCCGAGGTGCATCCTGGGAGGCAGCAGGTGATGAGTCAAGTCCTTGTGTCCCTGCCACCTGCATGCGAGACCCAGGTTGAGTTTCTAGTTCCTGGCTTCAGCCTGGCCCAGCCCTGGCTGTAGTGGGTATTTGGGGAGTAAACCAATTGATGGAAAAAAAAACTCTTTGTGATTGTCTGTCTGTTTCTCTGCCTTTCAAATAAAGTGCAAACTTTTTTTTTTTTTTTTTAAAGCTGGAGGAGTAGAATATATTCGCTGGGTGCTTCTGTGGCCCGCCTGATCCAGAAAGGCCTGCGGGGTAGGGGGTGGGGGGGCACCAGAGCAGCACACGTGGCGTCTCTTCTCTCACCTTTACGTCCGGGGAGGGCCTGTGCGTCCCCTGCCAGGGCCTTCCTGCTGGCATTTTCTATTCCTAGACAAACTTTAACGAAACCCTTCCAAACCCCAGCTTCCACATACACCAGCAGCGCCGCCGGCCACTATGTCAAGTCTCCTGTCCACCCCCGCCCCGGGCACCACCCATTACTTCCTAATGACCTGAGCTCTCGGCTCACTGTCCACAGAGATGCAGAGATGGCTTCCTGTGACCTCAGACACCTCACTCCTGTCCTCCAACAGACAGCTCTCCCTGAGGATTGCAGCAGCCACCTGCCCGCCGCTGCTTCCCCATCACCTCCTAAAGGCCCCACCCCTTAATGTCGGCACATTGATGACTAAGTTGCAACATATGGCCTTGGGGGACTCTTTCAGGGCATGGCAGCCACGGTCTAAGCCACTCCTGTCTTCTGGGGTCCGGGGCCAGTGTCTCTCCTCCGTGCAGTTTTCCAGGGCTGGGGCCGATTGTCCGCCTCTGTCCCCAGAGCCCAGGATGGTGTCATCTGCTTCTCCCTAGCTAACAGCCACTCCAGGGAGGGAGACATGCTGGTAATTCTACTGCACTGCTGGGACAGAATCCAACCAGTCCTGGTGGAGACACCAGGGAACCCTGGCCACCTCTGGGCCCAGAGCATGGCCAAGGCTGCTGTCCTCCAATCTGAGCACTGGGCTTCCAGTGCCGCCCCTGCCACGGCCGTCCCAGCTGGCAGCTCCCTGCAGGGCAGGCAGAGGGGAAGGGCTCTGGGTGGACGGCTGGCTGTCCCCACGCCGTCACGGTATTTGTCATCTTCACTGTCCTGGTCTTAGCAGCAGGCATAAATCTCAGTGGAGAAACTCAGGAGGTGAGGAAGAAACGCATCTTCGTCTTTTTGGAAATGTCAGGTTTCTTTTCAGTCTCAGTTTGTCAAGATGGCAGGATTTTAATTCTAGGAGCGCGGGAGATCCCCGCCCCTGATCCCCCTTCCCTGGGGGAGTTAAGGGGTGAGGACAGAGTGCCTGGTCCTAGGCGTCCTTGGCCTGACACTGGTTCCCATGGTGACGGGGCCATCAGGCTGCTCCCACGCTGTGACAGGGCACAGCGACTCTCGAAGACTCCAGCCGCCAAGGCACGCCATGCAACTGTTCTCATCCAGCTCCCGCTGCCTGCCGGAGCTCCGCCCACCTCTCGGACCCACAGTACTACCTGGGCTTTGGAGCAGGGAGCAAGGCCACTCTCTGGCACCCGCTAACACCTGTGGAACCTCTGCTTTTTCTTCCTCCCTCCCACCTCTTTCTCCCAGTGTGGGGAGGACGGTGAATCTGCTTTCACTTGACTCCACTGTGAATTCTTTCCGTTTCTCCTAGGGCCTCTGATCACAGTTCTCTGCATGTGGCTGTTGCATTTTCTTCACTGGGCAGAGCATAACCCGGCTGCTTTGATGGAAAGAAAGACCAAGAGCGGAGGGGAGGAAAAGCCTTGTGTGGGGAGAGTTGGGAAATAGCTTAAAAAATATAACGGGGGGCCGGCGCTCCGGGAGTTTCTGGACACACCAGGCCATGGAGACTGAACTCATCTTGTCCACACTCCGGGCACCAGTGGGTCCATCCTTCTCCTTCCTTCCCTGCCTTGGCAGAGCTAGGCTGCCCCTTGGTACTCCTGCCACCTTCCTGGAGCCTGGGCGCCCTCTGCTTCTGCTCTGGCCTCTCATCTCCCTGGAGGTTTCCAACCCCCATCCCCCACCCCTCGGTTTGACTTTATAAATAAAATATAAATTTAGCGAAGAGCTCATACCACAAAAGGGAAGAAGTGGTAAGAGAAGAGCCCAGGCTAGCACCCTGCTGGGTGGGTGCTCAGGCTTTGCAAAGGGAGGAGACACCGCTATGCTGAGGTTGGACTTCCTGGCCTCTTGCCCAAGCAGGCAGTGCTTTTCCAAGTAACGCCTGTGGCTTCAGAAGGTCTCCCAAGGCCAAACTACCCTAGGGAGGGGCTGCAAAAAGCTCGTGGAAAATGCATGGGCTATGAAAAAGCTACGCGTGGATTTCGATTTTTTTCTGATAAAATAAAGGTTTTTTTTAAAAAAAAGATTTATTGATTTATATGAAAGTCTGAGTTACACACACAGAGAGAAAGAGGCAGAGAGAGAGAGAGAGGTCTTCCAATCCTCTGGTTCACTCCCCAGTTGGCCGCAACAGCTAGAGCTGCAACGATCCAAAGCCAGAAGCCAGGAGCTTCTTCTCGGTCTCCCACGTGGGTGCAGGGGCCCAAGGACTTGGGCCATCCTCCGCTGCTTTCCCAGGCCATAGCTGAGAGCTGGATCGGACGGAAGTGGAGCAGCCAGGTCTCGAACCGGCGCCCATATGGAATGCTGGTGCTATAGATGGTAGCTTTACCCGTTACACCACAGTGCTGGCCCCAAATGTATCTTTTTAAAGATTATTTATTTGAAAGGCAGAGTGAGAGACAGACAGAGACTCTGGTATGGGATGTGGGCGTTCCAAGTGATGGTCTAACCCAAAGCACCACAACCCCAACCCCCACACTTATCTTTTAATTACATTTTCCATGAACTTGTAAAAGTACCCTCATATTATCAGATGGCCTTTTTTTTTTCAAAATAACTTTTTTTTTTTTTTGTAAAACAGAACTTATTTTTATTTACTTGAAAGGTGGGGCGGGGGGCGGGAAGAATCATAGAGAGCTCCCATCTGCAGGCTCACTCCCGAAATGCCTACAACAGCAGGGGCTGGGCCAGGCCAAAAGCCGGAGCTTGGAACTCAGTCTAGGTCTCCCATGTGGGTAGTAGGAGCCATCACCTACTGCCTCCCAGCGTATACATTAGCAGGAAGCAGAGTCAGGACTTGAACCCAGCACTCCGGAGTGAGATGCAGGCTTCTCAAGCAGCTGTGCCCAATGCCCGTCCTATCAGAGGACTAAGACCTTGGACTAACCCCTTGGCTGACCCCTTGGATGGGCATGGGGCGGGAGCACAGTGCAGGTTAGTGGGTGCAGGGGGCCACGAGTGGCTCAAGGACGCTGTGTCTCTGCAGGCGAAGACTCCATCAGCACCTTGGGTCTGATCCTCGGTGTGGGGCTGTCACTGCTGCTCGTGTCCATCCTTGGCTACAGCCTGGCCAAGTGGTACCAGCAAGGCTACTGCTGGGAGGGTGAGTGAGCCCCTGGACCCTGTCGCCCCAACTCCACCCAGCCCCTCCTCTGCCACAGCAGTTTGGCAAGGCTGGGCGGGGCATGGCAGATGCAAAACAGCTTCCTGTGGTGGTGGCCCCCATTGAAGATTTGAGTCAGTGGCTGAGCAGTGGTGGGGGTGGAGCAGTGGGACCTTTATGAGATGAATAGGGGCTCCTCCCAGCCCAGCAGGCAGACAGCTCCCAGCCCAGGGGCCTGTGCAGACCCCCAAGGCCAAGGGCAATGAGTGCACTAGCTAGTCCAAGCTCCAAGTCGTCCCAGGCTGGCTCCCATGCATCTTTGCCCCAGTCTTAGGCTAGGGTCTGCTCTTGGGCTTGCTGATGCTAATATTGGGAGTCTGTTGCCAGTCCCCGTGGCGTTCTCAACTCCAAGACAGAGCTGTATTTTCCTAGAACCCTGGGAAGCTACAAATGCATGCTGGATACTGAGAAAGAGGAAGCATTTTTGAGAAATACAATTAACTGTAACATTTATTCCACGAGTATTTGTTGGGCACCTCCTGTGTGCCCATGCACCTTTGCCCAATGGGATTTTCTTTAAAATCCCACATGACAAAGAAGTTGTACCAGCCTCCATGTTTTATAGATGGGGACGGGAGGCTGAAGTCACAGAGTTGGAAAGTGATGGAACCACATTGGGCTCTAGGTCTGGTTCTTTTGGGTGTCAGGCTAGATATACCTCCTTCCTGGTGCTATCAGGACCCTGAATAGGAAGACTCTAAAGGGGCTGGGACCCCCACAGAGCAGCCTGAGGCCAACCAGCCACCCTCCTCCTCCAGACAGGGGGAGGGAGCAGTGGGATGGGTGGCTTTCCCTGGGGACACTAACTCTCTCTTTTCGGATTGTTATCCTAGGGCCGAATTTTGTCTTCAACTTGTACCAAATCCGGTGAGTAGATTCAGGGAAGAGCTGGGTGGGGGATTAGCTATGATGGAGAAAGCCAGAACTTACTGCTTCTCTTCCTCGCCCCTTGCCTAAGCAAATAAGAGAGGGGCCCAAGAATCCATTGAGAGAGCAAGAGTAACAGCTTGAGTGTGGACAAGACCACGTGCGACCCCATAGCAGGCGGGGGGCACCTGCTCATCCATCCATCCGTCCATCCCCCAGTCCTTTAGTCCATGAGGTTCTACTGTGGCCAGCGTTGGCGTCTTCATACCGAGGGAGCAGAGATGAAGGGGTAGTCTCTATCCCCGTCTGTGCTGCAGACAGCTAGGAATAATGCAACCTCTGCTGCACCGTGCTGTCCAAGGAGCAGAGCAACTGGAGAAAGTCAGGCCCTCAGGGAGCAGTGCCCAGTAAGGGGGGACCCCTGGCCCAAGTCCCCCCTGTCCACTTCAGTCCACAGGACAGGCCGGCTCCGCTGGGCGCTGGGAGATGGTGTGGGGTCTGCCCTGGAAGATCAGGCAGTGACCGGGAGAGTCCCCTGCTGGGAATGCCTCACCAGCTTCTGGCCCAGGGAGGTGGGTGCCAGGGAGAGGCTGGGTTCCCAGCCCCAGTAGCGGCATTGGCTGATCTCTCTCAGGAACCTGAAGGATCTGGAGGCGGGGCCACCGTTCACCATCAGTGGCCACATTGGCGGTCCAGACGGCGGCTACATGAGGTTCTCCAACGGGCCAGTCTGATGGGGGAAGCATCTGGCTTCTGGAGCCCTGGGGAGGTGAAGAGGAAAACTGGAGATCTCCTGCGTGAAGCTGACATCCAAGAAAAGTCCTCCGAGGGTCCAGCACCAAGGATATTGACCCCCACCTCCCTTCTGGTGACAATCCCAGGGACAAGTCCCAGGGACAAGGCCCGGGGTCACGTTGTCTGCATCTGCTTCCAGCACTGGGGCTGCTGCATTTCCAGCTGATCCATGCCCCGCCTCCCCTTCCTGGCAAGTTCTAGAAGTTTCCAGAGCAGAACTTTCTGTGCCGTTCCTTTGCTTGGAGGTGAAGCTTCCAGGTGGCCAGGCTCTCCAAGAAACCTCACTCTGGGGCTTCAGCTCCTGAACTTTTTTTTTTTTGACAGGCAGAGTGGACAGTGAGAGAGAGAGAGAGAGAAAGGTCTTCCTTGTCCGTTATTTCACCCTCCAATGGCCGCCACAGCCAGTGCACTACGGCCGGCGCACCGCGCTGATCCAAAGCCAGGAGCCGGGTGCTTCTCCTGGTCTCCCATGCGGGTGCAGGGCCCAAGCACTTGGGCCATCCTCCACTGCACTCCCAGGTTACAGCAGAGAGCTGGCCTGGAAGAGGAGCAACCAGGACAGAATCCGGCGCCCCGACCGGAACTAGAACCTGGTGTGCCAGCGCCGCAGGCGGAGGATTAGCCTAGTGAGCTATGGTGGCGCCTCAAGCTCCTGAACTTTCTAAGCCCGGGCTCCTCGCCTGCTTCCGGCCAGCCCTCTGCTCACACATTTCTCTCCCTGGCCTTCAAGTTCTGCCTTTCCCCACATCTCGGGTGCTTTCCCCACCCAAACACTGCCCCTCCCACATGCCCCTGGGTTTCTCTCCATCTGCTCCGGACGCCCAGCTGCTCTGTGGATTTTTCCCTCTGGCCCCTCTCCTGCTCAGGACAAACCTGGGCAGGTCAGAAGAGATGGTTTAGAGCAATCCTTTCACAAATAAATAATCAAAAATTTGTTTATTTTATTTACTTGAGAGACAGGGAGAGAGACAAGGATAGAGAGAGAGGGAGAGAGAGAGAGAGAGAGAGAGAGAGAGAGAGAGAGAGAGAGAGCCTATTCACTGATTCACTTTGCAAATACCCACAATAGTTGGGTCTGGGCCAGGCCAAGGCCAGGTCTCCCACGTGGGAGGCAAGGACCCAAATACTTGAGCCATAACTGCTATCTCCCAGAGTGTGCATTAGCAGGAAGCTGGGATTGAGCATGGAGCCAGGAGCAGAAACCAGGCATTGGGACACTGGACACGGGCATCCCGAGTGGCAGCTTGACCCCTAGGCCTACGCCTGCCCCTGCGCCTCCTCCTTATTCACCCTCCCTTTTGCTTTTCTATAGGAAGAGGCTTTTGGTGCAGCACCTGCCCCTCCCAGGCTCCCCTGGGCTGTGGCTGCCTCTCCCTACCCCCCGCCCCCCGCCCTGCCACAGATCCTCAGTCCGGCCTGGCCCTGACTGTAGGGAATGTGGGGTCATCTGTGGGTGTCCCACAGCCTACAGAGGGAGATGTGTGGGGAGAGGCAGGCTTCTGACCCAGCAAGGAAAGAGGCTGTCCTTCCCAGGAGGCCCTGAGCCTGCAGCAGGAGTTACAGGGGTCCTGGAGCACCGTGTCCCACCCAGTGCGGTCCTGGCGACACTGGGCTCCCAGACTCCAGAGGGAGCTCTTCACATGCGTCCCAAGTCACTTGTCCTCATGGAGTTGACACCAGGGGCAGGAAGATCCGGCTGTCTTCCTCCCACCCCCACCCCACCCCCAATCTGGGCCTGTTCTCATGGCAGTGTCTCCCACACGGGTTAGCTCCCAGGCTGATGGGCAGCACTGAGAACAGTCTAGAAAGGAGTTGACCAGGTTCCCTGATGGGGAAGGGCGGTTGCAGGGGGCAGGGTGGGAGCTCCATGTCACCGTAATCTGCATTTCCTGGCCAAATCTGCCCTAGGAGGTGGAGAGTGGACCAGGAATGGTGGGAATTGAGCGGAGACTCCCGCTGAGAGTGGACAAACCACACAAACTGCACAGGAAACATGACGCAGCAGCGGGGTGGCCGGCCAAGGGCGTGCCTCATGACTGTCCTCTTCCTCCTGCCAGGGCGGCGGGGCTCCACTCAGAGCTGCCCCACGCAGAGAGCCTGCCCTGGGCAGCTGCAGGTGGCACAGGGCCCAAGAACGGGGCCCTTATGCTGCTGACTCCCACAGTGTCCCAGTGAGGCCAGCAGGTGCAGGCGCCCAGGGCAACCATGGGGGAGGTAGGGGGAAGTTGTCAGTCATCTTGCTAGCTTCCCTGGCCTGAGGTCTGGTTTTGGGGTCCAGCAGCTTGTAGAGGAACAAGAGGGAACCTCACCAGCTCTTACCCTCTCCTTTCTGCGAGGGCCTGGGCCATCCTCCCGGCACAGCCAGGCTCTGGCTCAAACCAAGTGTCTGGGTTGCAAGGCCTTTAACTGCATTTCTGTCCCAGGGTAGGAGGAGTAAGGAAGAGCCCTGGATGGTTTGCGATCCTTCTCTTCCTGCTCTCTTCTTGGGAGAGACAGAGAAAGGGGAGATGCATCACCCTTGGTTTTCTTTTTGGATTTCAGCCTTGAGGGCTGGGCCCCCTTCTTTGACCCATGTGGTGTCCATCCCAATAACACTCTCAGTACTACTCAGCTCAGCGTGGATCCTGGGTGTGCAGTCCCCACAGGGCCATGCTCGGCCCCTGGAAGCCGACTCCGCAGTCTTGGGGACGCTGTAAGGGAGGATAGGTGAGGAGGCAGGGACAATTGTCAAGGGCTGGGAGAATGGAGGGTATTTCCCATCCCTGAGAAGGGAACTGAGAGTGGGCAGCTTCCTCTTTTGGGGCCCCATGACGCGCTCGCCGGCCCCTCTGCCTCCGCCTGCTTCCCCTACTTCCGCAGGCGGGCACTGGCTAGAACAGCTTCCCTCAGCCTGCGGCCTGGCCTCGCCCCAGGACCCCAGTTTTCTCCCGGGTGCTGACTAGGGAGCAGGGGCCTAGGAACATGGCCATGGCCATGCCAGGGCCTCTCCCAGCACTGCTCAGGCACGCCAGCCGGCAGTCCTGTGGGTGCCCTCCAGCCTGGGCTGTCCTCAGGGCCACATCTGGTCTCCATGGGGTGGCTCCCTAAGGCCCCGAGGATCCCACACAGTGGGATCCCTGCCATGGAAGGTGGGATTTCCTCCACGTGGCCTGTTCCCTGACCAGGCTGAGTGTCCAGTGCGAGCAAGGTTGCGACCCCGGATCTTTAGTTACCCCCAGACCAGGAGCATGTGGGAAGCGGCAGTGAGTGCTTGCCGAGTGGGGAGACCGTGTGACCACGAAAGGCCGCGCGGTCCTGGAAGAGGCTCCAGTGGCCAGAGGAGCCAGGGCAGAGCGTCCTGCAGCAGCTCCGGGATGTGTGTGTCGTTTTTGGCCCCACTTTACAGACAGGGAGACTGAGGCTGTGAGAGGCTGCATGCTTTGCCCAAGGCTCCATCCACCACTTGCTTTGGCCGCACTGGGGCCTGAGCAGAGTCTGCGTCCTCACAGATGCAGCCTGACCTTAGGGCTTAGCTGAGTGGGGCCTGGGATGCTGTAGAATGGGGTCTGGTTCTGACCCTGCCCTGCCATGCTGTGTGGCTCTGGACTAGCCACTCCACCTCTCTGGGCATCTCTTTTAGCATCTAGAAATCAGAAGATTGCCTCCTTCCGGCTCTTGCTTGTAGGAGAATGATCTGTTCTTGTATCTGTTCTTTTTTTTTAAGATTTGTTTTTTTTTTATTTATTTATTTGAAAGGCAGAGTTACAAAAGGAGAGAGAGAGAGAGAGAGAGAGAGAGAGAGAGAGAGAGAGAGATCTTCCATCTGCTGGCTCACTCCCCAAATGGTCACTGGGACAATCCAAAGCCAGGAGCCAGGAACTTCTTCTGGGTCTCCAATGCAGGTGCAGGGGCCCAAGCACTTGGGGCATCTTCCACTGCTTTCCCAGGCCATTAGCAGGGAGTTGGATGGGAAGAGGGGCAGCCAGGTCTCAAATCAGAGCCCATTTGGGACGCCGGCATCGTAAGTGGCTTTACCTGCTATGCCACAGCACTGGCCCCATCTTTTTTTCTTTTTAGTCACTGTATTCTGAGTACTTAGCATGTGGCTTGACACACAGTGGGTGCTCAATCAACAAAGATGCAGGCACAAAGTAGCCTTAGAACCATGTAGCTTAGGAGGTGGCAGTAGGAAGGTGGCCACCACTGTCCTTCCGGACTCCAGTGGTCTAGGGTTCCAGGTCCTTCTCAGCCTGGCCTGGACCCTGAAGGTACCTGGCCAACACCCAGGACAGGCCATTGCCAGCCCAGTCATTCTCTCCGGGAAGGCAAACACTACGTTTGCCGGCCACAATCGGTGCGGGGCGGGGCCTCTCTTGCACAGGCTCCCAGCTGAGGGTACGAGGCTCAGAGCACAGTGAAATGATCTGCCCGAGGCCAGGCGAGAATCTGCTTGCTTTATAATCCTTTGTGGCCCACTTCCAGCCACAGTGCAAGCCAGCAGCTCACCCGAGACCCGCGGCCCCCAAGAAGCCAGCTTGCCCCTCCACTCAGTCCCTGGCTTCTTCCTGGGTCCCCGGCGTGAAAGCAGGGCTCTGGGACTTCTCACTGACTGCTTCTCCTTCTTGCTTTTATTTCCTATACTAGTCGTCACATTCTGCCCGTTCTTCACACCAACTCATCTCTCACTTCCCCAAAGAGACTTCTTCAAGACCTGTAGGGCTAGTTCTGACTTTGATTACAGTCTCTGGCTCCCGAAAGTTAATCCTTGATTATTTCTTTGCATCCATCCATCCTTCCATCCATCCACTCACACAGCTACTGCAATTCGCCAGGAACTGTGCTGGGGCCTGTGGGGGCGGGGTCCGGTTTCTCTTGAGATCAGCCTTGCGCTCTCCCGTCTGGCGGAATCAGATGTCACACCTCCACTGCGGTCTCGACGGCATCTTGTGCAGCTCTGGCCAGAGTCACGCACTCCTCAGGAAAGAATTGCTGAAGAAATAGCCCAGTTTCGTCAGGCAGCGTGTGTGTTGCCGTGATCCTGGTCCAATCCCAGGTCTCCCCTTCCCGCTCCAGCATGTGTCACCCTGCGCTGATGATCAGGTCCCAGCAACGGAGCACGCGCAGGTGATGACTTTTTCCAAGGGGCGATCCAAGCCCTGACAAGGCTGGACAGGTCCTACTGACCTTGGCCCCCTGCCCTTTGGCAGGAGAGGGGCCTGGTGATGAGCCCCTCTGGTGCTCCACTCTCTGCACCGCAGATCTGAGAAACTCAGAGAGGGAGCAGATGGAAAATCATTATTATATTTGTAAAAACTGCTTAGTTATCAAAAACCCATCTAGATGCGGTGATATTTGAGTAGATCTGGTACAAAACAGGAAGCCAGTGGCCTGATGAATTTTCACACTCGGGGACCAGAAGTGAAAATGTTCTGCCTGCCTGGAGTAGCGCAGGCCAAGAAAACAACAGGTGGGGCGGCTCTGGAGGCGCGGCCCTGATGGCCTCCTGGATTCTCACCTGCTGAGCCATGGAGGTTAGCTTTCTGCCCCACTGCCCCCAAGCCTTGGGTGATGCTTCCCATACAGAAGCGGGGAGGCCCTGGGAGAGAGACGGGTGGAAAGTGTGGGAAGTGGCCTCTCCTCTTCCCATCCCGGTTCCTCCCCTCCCAGCTGGTAGGCTCAGGCTCTATGGGCTCCAAGGCACCTTTGTGTAAGGCTGCCCTTGGACATGAGGATCCTGAGGCCTCTTCCAGCTGTGAGGATATTTCAGAGCTGGGGACCTTCAGCTCTGCAGAGCTGGGGCGGGGAGCGGGGGCATGCGGGGAGGCAGATGGAGAGAGCCCTGTGTGTGTGTGTGTGTGTGTGTACCGCAGAGCTGAGCCAAGGAGATGGATCATGTCTGCCTGCACATCTGGCTGCCTCTGGTTCCCAGAGGGC